AGTCAAGGCAGGTGAGCAAATACTTTTGGCAATATAGTGTATGTAAAAGCCCATGGTAGGAGAAAAAGTGAGATAAATTGACGACAAGAATTCGAAAATGTTGCATGAAGCCTAATGACTCCTGCTTAATTTTATCCCAAAGTGTTCTTAACCCTTGTTAAAATTGCTTGAAAAGGCTTATTTTTTTTATTTTAGTTTAACTATGAAATTTCCATGTTTATTCTCACAAATGAAAAGATATTTCTAGCATCAGAAATTTCAAATTTTCTAAATGAGTATGTAAATTTTCAGATTTTTACTTTTCAAGATCAGAGATTTCTTTTTATGTATCTTAAAATTTCTAGGTCTATTGGAAAAAAAGGTACTCTTCCCTTTTTTCATCTATAATGGCCTTACTGTTCAACTTTAGCTTTGCTTTGTGTCAATGCTGTGGTAGATTTAGCACCAGAAGTTCTATAATGCTGTGGGATGTAAGCAGAGATTTATGAAGCTTGGTAAAGCTGACAAACAATATCTTACTGCGTAAAGCTTGAACCATTTATTTAATTTATGAAGACTGATCCATTTTTATATCAGACTACTTTGATAGCAGTGGGGCAGTATAAATATTCAGTCACTTTGGTGAGATCATTGGTTGTATTACTTTAGACAAAGGCACCTAGTGGTCAAATTAATACAGTAGCTCTAAATTCACAGCGATTGGGCACTTCAGAACATTATAAACTAAAAATATTTTATTCCAAGCATGCTTCATGCAGGGTGCTGTTATAAATTCAAAATCCCCACCTGCTGTTTTAGATTGCTTTCTGCTGTAGCACAACAAGCTGTTCAAGTGACCTTGGGCAGGTTTCTGATTCTGAACCCTCTTAATTAACACAATATGTTTGGAGTTGGGATCTAATATACAGGACCAAAACAACAAAGATAGAGTATCAGATCATCATAATGAAGTTTGGACCTTGTTTCCAGGGGTATCAGCTTTTATAAAGGGACCATAGCTGCCAGGTCAGATGCTGTATTACACACAATGTTGCTGATCATATTGAAAATAGTTGGATATAGTGTGAGCCTGAAGTGCAACTTACTACACATTATTTCACTATCCTTCCACATTGTTGACACTTTTTCACCTATGTGACATTACACAGTGCCGAAACTTCCACTTATCACACTGAATCACAGCATTGCAAATTGTCAATGTGAAACTATTAAATTAAGTATAAAGCACAAGAATTGACAAGTCTAATAGTGTAGCATTTGGTGAAACACTTTTGTTTTGACTGTACAAATTATGACAAGCTAACTATAGTGGTTTGGAAGAAGACCTCATTTTCTTTGATGAATTACTCCAAAGGTGACAGGTGGAGGGAGGTCAAGTTATTATCAGAATGGTGTTTGGTTGCGTCATGGCCGTCACTCAATAAAACACCTGTGAGGCTGGTGTGTTCAGTGCTGTTACATTGCAAAGCTGCCATAATAATCCGGCTACTTTTAGACTTCAAAAACTGAGACTTGACATGTCCTATACAACAAAGTTGATTTTATTCAGTCTCCTGAATTTAGAGAACAAACCAGAATGAAAAAATAAATAAATAAATAAATAAATAAAACCCCTGCAGAGCTAGTCTGGGATGTCAGAAGAATTTCTTCTCAGCCCTAAAAGTAAGAGTGTGTTGCCCACATGATTCCTGCATACCTGCTATATTGGTATGAGTTGTTAACATTGCTTTGGTAAGCTTAGCACCAGAATTTCGGAAAAGCTATATATCCATACGAGGGAATGCATGCTTGAATCATAAACAGAGGGTGTATTGAATAGACATGACATCTGAGGAGTCATGTAAAAAATAAAAAAATAAATCTCCTTCTGCACTAATAATCATAAATAATCTCTCTGGATGGCTGCCAGTGGTTTTGTCATAATAGGAAATGTGGAATATTTTCCTCCTATCATTGGTTCTGTAACAAGAAACTGATATGTAGATATTAATGATGTATCACACAGCTGAAAGCATTAGGTATTATACTTTGATATAAATGGTAAACTTTTGGATCTAAGGGGGCAGTTTAACAAAAAAAATTGTAATAGATTTAGCTATAGTTGCATTATTTTTTTTTTAGAAATTCAAACCATCAGGAGGTCATAGATGCACCTGAGTTTCATTAAAGCAAGCAACACTATAAAAAAAAAAATGTGAAATATGCCCCTGGTTACCAGTGTTTTTCTCACAAAATGTCTTCTATCTAATTCATACAGCACTTCAACATGTGGTGCATTTAGATAAGACATTTTTTGTTATCTCAGTACTAAGGAAAGCCTTTTTAGCTGACAGTTGCCTATTTTAATCTGCTAAAAACAAGTCTTCAAATTATTGAATACAAAAGGGTGTTCACTGGATATTTCTGCACCATTCCTTGAAACCAGAAACAAGAAGGGGGAGGGTTTGCATTAAATATGTAGTTTCTGCAGAAGTTTACCCTGTTGGACACTAAGGTATAGTCAGTGTTACAGTACTTAAACCTCAATTCTCTAACATTGAGGCATATGCTTTGATATTTGCAGTCATTCTTACCATCTCTATTCTTAAATTTATTAAGTGTTTGATAAAGAAACTGCAAGAAACTATATTTTTGACAAAATTCAAACTGAGCATTATCTAATGGACCATTAGATAATGGATCACTGTATTTAAAACGTTTAGGATTTAAAGTGTTTTGGCCACTATAATGGTGTAATCAGAACGGACACGTTGGCCGCGGCATATGCCGGGCATTCACATAGAATTCCTAAACAAACCATGTGTTACAGCGGCCAGTGATGAATTCCAAGCAGCAAGGGTAATCCCTGCTTCACCCTAACCTCATGGTACTAGATAGAACTGAGGTGTTGTCAAACACCAGCACTGCATGGAGAGAGCGGAGCGATGATCACGGAAGTTCAAACGAGATGAACTTTTCTGTGAAATTGTGACATAGCAACCAACCAGGGATTGCGTGAAGCTTTTTTTTTTTTTTTTTTACTTAAAATGGAATACATAGATAAATACTGTTAACAAAGGTAAACATAGGGAATGCTCTCAAGAGGTTTTTACTGTAGGCAGCTTACAAAAAAAGCAGTTTTAATGTAGCCCGAGAAGCACCTCTTGTCGTCCTCCCTTACCGCCAGCACAGGCCGTCTGTCACTGCCCACTGCCCAGCATCTTTGCTTTCTGCTGGTGTATATTTTACAAAGAACTACCACAGAATCCAACAGTTATCCAGAAGCACCTCTGGAGGAACTAGAGTGGAATTTGCTTTCCAGAGGTTTTGGAGATTTTCCAAAAATAGATGCCCCCCAACCTCTAAATAAGGTAAACATGCCCGTTGTTATATTCAGTACCAGCAACGGAATTACATGTGATGTTATGCAAAAACTTGATCAAAGTAAATGAGTACAGCACTAACATCTGCTGGAATGGTGACATCATAGGGGTAATTAAAAATGATTCTATCTTAAAAAAAAATTAATTAATTCGGAGCTTAATGGGGGATAGTTGACCTCTGGGTCACGTAAAACAATATATTTCATATCTCAGAAACAACAGTAGCACACATGATCATTTTTCATTATTATTTTCATGTATTCATTTTTACAAATTACCATATTAAATGCAGTGAATTCCCCTTGGTGCTGGCGGAAATCACTGCAGATACCGCGCTCGGCCTGAAAGCACCATTGTGAAATAAATTGACCAATAAAAGTCAACTTTCTCAGTGTTGTCTTTAAAAACTGCTTTGCTTCATTTGACGTCACGTGGGTGTGCCAAATAGTCTGAGATACTTCAGTTCTGTGTGGACAGTAGATAGTTATCAGGTAGAACGGACGTGTAATAGAGTTTGGTAGAAGTGAAACTTGTTCCATCAAAGGGACTGAGATACCACCTGTGTTCTGGTCCCAATCAAAAATCTTATTGGAGCAAAAGGCTCTGTAGACAGCAGATCACCCACCCACTTGATAGTAGATGGCTGATTGAGAACTGTGATTCTTATCGATATGAATGCTGAGGAAACATTAAATAAAAAGAAGAGAACCGTATCTATTCTGTTTGGCGGTGCGCAAAAAGCAGGGAAGATTGCCACATTGGCAACTGGTGTTTCTCAATGCTTACCTCCCGAGATTATAGGTCATGATCTGTATTCAAATTCTAAAAAAGATCAACTCTCAAAATTTCTCAGATTGACATCTGTGGTTCAGAAAAACAGTGTAATTGCCTCTATTAACTGCACTGACTGCTCTTACACCACAACTCAATCTGTCTCCTTTGGCCATTAATTCTTCCCCTGATCTTTCTTTGCTCTCTTGAGCAACGGGCTCATAGTTATAGGGTCGTGGTTCACCACATGTTTAGTGGTACGCATTTAAAGTTTCTTTGTCCTTGTTGCATTAGTATCTATTTTTTACCACTGTAAAGCTAAGCCGAGTCACCCATGTTATTTCACTTCCAGTACCTGGTCAGATACAGAAGAAAAATGTTCTTATAAAAACATCCCAAAAAGCCTAAATAGTTCATTTATGAGTATGTTTTAATTGAAAAAATGATTCCCTTATATATTTCTTGTAAACAGTGATAAAGGGGAGGCTCTAACCTACAATCAGCTCTTTAACACAAGGCAGGTTTATTTGCATAGAACATTTGAGAAAAAAACTTTGCCTAATGTTGTTACATGTATTTGTCTATCTGAAAAAAACAAACAAACAAAAACATTGCCTGGGTCAAACAAAATTTGTTGAGACTGCATTCCCATGTTAAGGGATTGCAGTGATTTTGCGGTGTTTCGGTTACAATTAGATGATGCTCAATGCTTATTGAAGGCTACACAGAATATTCTTGGTATTAACGTTTAAGATGCTGTTATTTAACACATTTAACCAACAAAAACCCAACTTGTTTTGGATTCAGCTAGTCCTCTTTGAGTTCCTTCCTTCATTCTGTATTTAATGTTTGTGTTTTGTATTGCAGGTGGTGGAGACCAACCTGGTTGCATTTGATTGTCACTGGATCTTGATTAATGAGGTGGGTATTGTTAGAAGATAATCAATGTATATCTTGTTCTCCTTATTGTCCCCTATTGTCAAGGATAACACTTAAAGTAGGCATAGCAAGTTTATTTCCATGGCACCACAAGATAAATCAAAATGCTTTAAAAGGAAATTACTTATAACTTTGCTGTAGCCTATTTTCCTTTGCATTTATATTCAAATAGATGCATAGACACATTTCTCATGTGTATGTTTTATTTAACGAATGGAATAACAATAATTTAGAAAATAAATAGGGAAGAGCACATATACAAAAAATCGTATTTTCTGGAGTATTGAGTGGATCTCACTATAAGCTGCACTCACAAACTGATAACGTACATATATAAGCCACACCGGGCTATATGCCACTGTTATCTACTGAACTGTCTCCCACTAAACCTGTTTGGTGGAGCTCTAAATATAAACCCTAGAGAAGGGAATAGACAGAATGCTAGGTCCCTTTAGCTTTTTGGCTTGCGAAGAGAGCTTCTATTGAAAGATGAGTTTAGTGAAAAAGTCAAGAAAAATCCACAGAAAAGCCTCGCCTTCATAAGCTGCATGGTTCCAAGCATGGGAAAAAGTAGGAGCTTGTTGTCCTGAAAATACAGTACGTGAAACAAGGTCAATAATATCAGTGGCCGGGAATCTGGGACCCGTCTCAGTGCTGCAGTATGTCATGAAAATCTGTGGCAGGGGCCACTGCCTGCTCTTCGGTGCCATTGCAGGTCATGGAAATTAGTGGCAGGTTGTCTGGCACCTGCTTCGTTGCTGTGGCAGGTCATGAAAATTGGTGGCAGGTGCCTTGGTAGATCACTAAGTTTAGTGGTGGGCTGTGTGGCACCTCTTCCAGGGGCCTGGCAGGTGCCAACCCATCTCTAAGGGAGTACCCAGCCTCCCTGTGAAAAAAGCCCATTTCAACCTTTTATATCCGGCATGTCTTTCTTTTGGTTATAATCCGGGTTTAATTATCATAGGTGAGGTTAGGAACTTGACAGACCGGTAAATCGAGAGCTTTTCTTTTGGCTCAACTCTATCTTCACCACAACAGACTGGTGCATCACAGTTAGCACATATTTATAATATCTGAAAAATAACCAAATAATTATACTTTCTTTGCTTTAGCTTTAACTTAATTGCTTTTACACAAAAATACCCATGCACACTTTAAAGAGCATAAGTACAGAGAAATGAGACATTAAAAGAAGCAACCAGTAATCAAGAGACAGCAAGAAGCTTCTTAATGACTGTAGATAAAAGGAAAAAAACATTGAGTACTTTGCTATTAGAAAGATTTCCATAACAAAATAATTTTTTGACTTAAATATATATATATATTATTTTTGTAATTATATTCAGTAAAGCTTTAGTTCATTGTTATATCACATTTACTCTCACTACATATTTCAAAAGGTTAATCACATTATTTTTGCTGGCTTTAACCTCTTATTGATTTTAAATAAGCTAAAAATATTCTTTGATTGAAACAAAGGTGGTTTAATAAGCTTTGAAGTAAAGAGCCATATATTTTTGCATTTTTAAAACTTATTTATTTCCTTGACAATGCACTTTTTTAAAGACCTAAGCATCACAGTAATACTGATATGACACCAAAGGCAGTATATGCAACCAAAATCACATGCTTGTAAAAACATGTATGCCACAAGACGTAATAACAAACAGCAAAAAAAAAAAAAAAAACATTTACAGTTGGAATAGTGAAAGCCTAATTTGGTAAAATACAAGAAAAGCTAGGCACATCCCCCACTATGCCTCAGCTTTCACCTCTCTGTTCTATTTTCAAGTCAGAGCCTGTAACGATAATCATTCTCTGAAATGCCACAAGGCTCAGTGGTCCTATTACTTTCACAGTTATGCCAAGTATTTCTGTTATAAACAAGTTTTAGTATGTGTGACATTCATCATTGCTGAAAGAATCACATGCAACCATGCAAATGAAATGTCAGCCCTGCAAAATGAAGATTTACATTGTGTACAGACACCCCCACCCCCACAAATATATTGTAAATGTTTTCTGGATGAAATGGTCACATTTGCCCCTGAGTTCTTGGTAGAATGCTAATAAGGGAGAACAGAGGAATCCTGGGTCCTGCACCTTCATCAAAAAAAATGGCCGATTTGGAAAACATTTTTTTTATAAGTAGCTTTCTTTATTTATTAAGTGTTAATTACTTTTAATTGTCTTCCATCTGCTTCTCAAAATAGATAATAATAATAACTGAACTTTACTAATATCACACTGGAGAAATTTAATTCTGCATCTTACATCTTGGGGAGCAGTGGGCTGCCACTATACGCCACCAGGGAAGCAGTATGGGGGTAAGGTTCTTGCTCGGGGATCCAGAGTGCATGCTCTGGGGATCGAACCAGGTACTTGCAACCTTTTCAAAGCACAAGCGCACTGCTCTAACCACTAGGCCGACACTCCCTTTATAAGACAAACATGATTTAATGTGTTCATGCTCATCCTTTGCTAGATAACAATATCAAGCCCTTAATGAAGAAGTCTATGTGTTGTTAACCACCAGGCCCTACCATGCAAATGAAGCCTGGTTATATTATGACTTTGTTTCAGAATAATGTAAGACTGATAGATGAGAAGAGACAAGAAAAACACAGACTGTAAGGACTGTAAACAGAGTTAAAGTGAGAGAATGATAGACTAATGGAACAAAATTGCAGCTGGAAAATATGAGGACTAAAAGAAGAGTCAAGCAAAAAGTTGGGAATGCATAAGAATGTTTTATTAAAAAAGGGAAAATGATGGTCAAAACTGAATGCAAAATTAATTACAAACTTAAATACTGTATTACTAGGAGTGACACATTCTTGACAATACATTTTGTTTGTTTGTTGCTTTGTTTAAATATAACACAAAGGACACATAGGTTACCTATCTCAAAGTTACGGTGTCCCAGAGGTGCAGGTCAAAAACAAAAGCCACAACACAAAAATAGAAGTCATAACAGAAATAGAAAAGCCACATCACAAACAAAGGCAGCAACAGAAATAAAAAGCCACAACACAATAACAAAAGCCACAAAGGAAATACAAAAGCCATATGTTAACATGCGCACAGAATCTCTCTCCAAATTTGTGTGTGTCACTTTTTTCAGGACTTTCAGAAGTACTTAAAAAGATGAGGAAACTGTGGTTGAGTTTCTGATTTAGAAAACTGCTTCACACATTTTCATATCCTCAAGTGATGAATCTGCTCAGTTTTGGCTTCATCATATCTGAAGATCTGCTCTGTGCAAAGAAAGATATTTGCACCTGTTTTAAGACACCCCTGATGGTAGAGTAGAAGTGCACTGTTATTGTCTTTGGCAGACAGAACGTCTTTAGCTGCCAAAGAGGGTGCATCTGCTGTAGCTTCTTGGTAAGGGGCATGATGTTCAATTATCGCTTGAGTTCCTGAGCAATGATGGTTCCCAGGAAGTGGAAGAAGTTTATATTGGCGAATAGAGAGCTCCAAACTGTTCTGTCTGCATCAGGTCACTAGATCTCCCACATTTAGGGAGACCTATCCTGTTATGATATAGGTAGAAGAGCAAAGGGTAGATTATTGCATTGTGTGGGCATTCTGTGAGCTTTTGTCTTCAGCACCTTGTGCGTTTTTCTGTTTATAAAGAGGTATTTGATCTGACTGTAGGTTGGGTTGAGTATGTTGAGTTGGGAGAGCCTGTCCTGCAGATGGGTATGATGTTTATAAGGCTGAAGTCTATAAACAGGACCCTGGCATAGATTCTTGGGGAACCCAACTGTTGCAGAATATTTTGAGAAGTCATGTTTACTTTATTTTCTGCAGATCTGTTTGCTCTTTAGGAGCAATAGAGGGGATCCAGAACTGGATCTGTGGTTGCTGTAGTGGAAAAATACAAGATGTTTAGGACTTTAGCACCACAGAGGTCAGGGCTATGAGTTTGGAGTAATCATGTTGTCATTGGTTTTCTGGGAACAAGGATGTTGGTGGAGGCTTTGAAGCAAGATGGAACATGATATGTCTCATTGAGAAGTTAAACTGCCTGTGAACACCAGAGATCTGCAGCCTAAAAATTCTATTGACTTTCTTTTCTGAAATAGAGAACGTAGGGGAGACAGAGAGTAGATGGAACTGCCCCACATTGAGGAGAGAGGGGAGGAGATTGTGGCCCGGGCCTGATGCTTAGTTGAGGAATAACATTGGCCCTAGTCTTTTAACCTCTCTAAGGGCACTGTCTTTTGTTTTCCAGCAGTGATCCAAAGTTCCCTCATTGGACAGTCTTTATGGACACTGCTGGTCGACCAGCATATGCTGTATGTCAGACATATTGGCCAGTGGTGAAATGTAAATGGCTACCACTGTGGCAGAAGCAAACTTGTGCAGGGTGTTTACAAAAGATATTTTGTATTAGGAAAGCAGTATTGCTGAATCAAAGTCACATTGGTACTCCAGCTTCCGTTTATGAAAATCAAATACCTTCACCCTTTTTTTGCTAAAGAGTTCTATTGCAGTCTGCTCTGAATAGTTGGAAGTCTGTTAACTGTAGTGTCAGGTTAGACAGAAAATACTTTGTTGCGCAGTGAATTCAGAAAAACATTACAGGTAGCGGTGTGCAGAATCCCAACCAGCAAAAACACACAAGTGACCTGGTTCTTTACTCTCCTGCAGTCCCTTTACTGGGCAATTAGCAGTCTGTGATTACTACACCAAAATGCCCAATAAATGCATGACCAAGAAAAGTGGAAAAGAATCACAGAAGAAAATGACATCAACACAAGTAAAACCCCAAAGTGCACCTAATTTGAGGCTGCACTATTTTAAATGGATACTAAGGATTATACTAAGGGTTTTATTTAAAGAATAACAAAAATGAACCAATCATGATAGGTTGTACCACATGAATGTGTAAACCACTGATGACAGGAGAAGGTTGGAATGCATTCTCCCTCCAGGATTTCTTTAAAGAAATGAGTATTCTAATGTGTAAAAGA